AAGTGGGTTGGACCGAAGGATAACATTCATCCTGCCACATGTGAAACATATGAAGCAGAAGGAAAAAGAAGCGGAAATGACACTGCTGAGCTCTTCATCTGTGATATGAGTGTGTGATTATACAGGTTCTCACTGTCTTCCTTCTCTCACCCCAACCAATCACAGCGGATGGCCCCGCCCCTCCCTGAGCCTGGTTCTGCCGGAGGTTTCTTCCTGTTAAAAGGGAGTTTTTCCTTCCCACTGTCGCCAAAGTGCTGCTCATAGGGTCATATGATTGTTGGGTTTTTCTCTGTATGTGTTATTGTAGGGTCGACCTTACAATATAAAGCACCTTGAGGCGACTGTTGTTGTGATTTGGCTGTATAAATAAAATTGAATTGTAACGCGCCCGTGAGACTGACGCACTTTATCTCAGCAGCGTCTTATGTTGATCTTTTATGTTCCACCTGTTAGATCACAAAATAAGAAACACAGCCACGTGTTTTCTGCGGTGGAGATGAATCAATGAGCCACAATGTAAAGAGATCAAACGTGGGCACCTCAGACCTCCTCCTCCTCCCTGAGTTCTGTCGTTCGCTCAGAAGGCGGTGGAAAGATGAGAGAGTTCACGGCGAGTTCATCCACGCTCGCCTCCGACTCCCTCGGCTCTCTTTCATGTCTCCACGGCGAGGCGGCTGCAGTAAATGCAGTCTGTTTGAATATGTCGGGATCTTCTGTCTGCATAACGAGCTTTTTATGCTGACTTCTCTTAAATAAATATTCAGTTACATTTCAGTCAGAGTGGATTTCAACCCATCCTTCCAGCTCTTATCCAGCTCTTGACAGCTCAGTGTTTTTTAACTTTGCTATTAAATGCAAATTTTTTATAAGATTCATTTAAAGTGACGTGCTTGTGTAGAGAATGTTTACATGGGATGTATGTGCATGTAAGAAACAGGCACAGGGCTGAGTGTGAGCCACCAGAAGCTCTCTGCTGCCCCTCGGTGGTGCAGTGATGGAAAAGCACGCATCATATTCTTCATTTCTGTAGAAGCACAGATGGCTCTGTTTGCTGCTGCCTGCATTCCACATGAATGAGAAAAGAGTAGAAAGTACAGATTTATATATATTTTTTTTTTTAGCAAAGTAAGCACAGTCAAGTAAAGTACAGGTACCTGGATATTCTGCTGAAGTAATGAAGTATTTGTACTTCTCACCTCTGAGGAAATGTGAATAAGATTTTTTTCTGTTGCTTGGGCAGAAGAAGAGTCAGCACTTTGCAAACACTGGCTCAAAAGGCAGGAACAGGTAAAGCTCTCAGGTGAAGCTCGCCGCCCAAACAGAGCTGACCCGGACGCTGTCAACTAACGCAGTCGGTGAGAGCTACTAATGAATTTACTGTTCCACCTTTGCAACCAGGAAAATTTTTACTGAGATTAAAAATCATTTTGAAATGAATGAAGTGCTGAATCAGAACGGCAGCGATTCACAGACTCTGTGCTTTTCACACTCACTGGCCAACATCCTGTGACTGACAAGACTGATAAGCATACCTGCCCCACCCCCATAATTTACTAAATAAGCTTCACGTTCAGCTAAAAAAAAGGCTTGAAACACACGATTGAAACGATAAACTCATCTGAAACAAGTTTGCTGAGCCCACAGAGCAAAGTAACAGGAGTAGCCCCCTGCTGGCCATAAAAAAGAAATGCGTTTTAAAGCAGCTCATTCAAGGCTTCCCTTCCAGATCCTGAAGCTTCAGGGTTAGGAGGATGGATCTGGTGCTCTCCTCTACCGCGTATCAAAGGAAAGTGACCATAATCTCAAAGCTGACGTGTGATTTGTGAGTACAGTTCAGGCACGAAGCTGGATGCAGAACAAACGGAGCAAATCTCTTCTTCTTTTCACGTCTCCTTCAAAGAACCGTGATACAAGCTGATGGTTCATCCAATCGCCTGCCAGGACTTTCTCTAAAGTGCCCGCCCTCACATAAACACTCACATGGTTCAGGCAGCGACTTCTAAGCTGCTCGATAAACAGGTATGCTTCCTGTTTTAGATGTTTTTCCAGTGAGTTTTAGGGACTTTATGGCATCTTCCATTATTATTTGGGGCATGAAGCGCGCAGGCTCCTGATGACGTCATCATTTGTGCTTTTATCTTATTTTATCTCCATCCACTCTTCATTTGCTGACCTGAGGCCAGCGTCTCTACTCTGGTTAATAGGAAGCAGAACAGGTTACCTTAACTGTGGATCTGGTCATCAGGTTACTTCCCAAACCATTGGCTGACATGGCCACGCCCACCTCTTTATACAGTCTTTGAAAGATACTGTGTGTAAATTAAAGTTTGTGTTTGCTCCTTTAAAACCTGCACCGTGTCCCATATAATATCTCCCTGAGTGTGTGTTTGCAGGAACAGAGTGGATAATTGCCGTGTTTTGACTCTTAAAGTGTTGCATTCACTGTGTTTTGATATATTTGTGACAGCAGCAAAAACAGACCATCCTTCCGCACAGACGCGTCACAGTTATTAGGCAGCCTGGAAGCTCTCGGCGCTGTCACAGCGGCTGGGACTGCAGAGCCGAGTCTAGACTGACTTGTACTTTCCTGCTGTTCTGTCTTCACTGTGTTTGGTTAAATCTTTTACAACCAATTTATCTTCATTTGAGCCGGCCTGCAGCACAGGCCGCTGCCTCGGGCTCAGCGTAATTGGACTGCAGTCTTTATAATGAAGCCTTCCCAACAGGAGAGCAGCACACAGACTCGGCTGGAGCTGGGCTTCACTCACTGATGTAAGCGTCTGCCATCACGGCGCTAAACCGACGCAGCGTCGTGACTGTGGCGTGAGCTGAGGTCAGCCGAGTTTGTGTTTTAATAGCCGGTAAACCCACAGAGATGATCAGATCAATTATGCCTACATGGCTCAAGGTTCTCTCATCAATCAGCGGATCTGGATCAAGCAGCAGCCTCTGCAGGTGAAAACTGACAAACGCTGAGCAGCAGGGCTTCAGCAGTTACGTGCACGTCCATCCAGAACTAACAGCACGGCTCCAACGCGCCCTATGAGAGGTTGGTGATGCAGTTTTTGCTCCTGTTGCCATCCAAGCGTTTTGTTAGGTAATAAATATCTAATCTTAAATGCTTATATGCTGATTATTATTGGTTTATATGAGAGAGGCCCAGACTTTAGTGTAAAACTAGGTTACAGGCTGACCAGAAACTAATTCTATTAGTTAAAGTTTCCAAGGTTTGAAAGTGTTTCTCCTTCTGAATATAAATGTGCGCTGAGCTCAGGTTATCATCATTTACCTAACAGATGTTTATTGAAAAAACAGAAAATATCAGATTTCCAAACTGAGAAATTTGTGTTTGTTTTAAATTGAAGGACAAATGATCAGTGTGAATTTCATAAATGTTTCCAAAACGTTGTCACAGGGGAAAAAATAATCAGGGAGAAAAGGAACCTTCACATCGACTTCCTCCACTTCTGCACAGCACGTGTACACAAACCCCACAGGAAAGAAAAAATATGTATAAAGACAGAAATTGTGTTTTCCACTAGACTTATTTGTCACCCCCAGAAACTTTATATGGAAGACGTAACTTTAACATTTTAACTCCAGCAACTTTTCTACAGTTCACTGATACAGAAGTTATCGTATGAAGTTTGTTTTTACTTTTCCTAGGTTTGTTGCATTAGCCAACTGATTTTTTTTTTTTTTTTTTTTTTTTTTTTTTTTTTTTTTTTTTTTTTTAACTACCCTGGTGTTGATTTCTCTTATTTTGAAATGCTCCATACTTGATTTTAAACCGATGACACCACACGGGGGCGCCAAATACTCAAATCCTTTTTTGGGTGTTTGCGCTGTTCAGATTTGTCATTTACACTAGAAATGAGACCGAGGCCTTTGTAGGAGCCTTCACAAGCAGTTTCAACGCCTGCATCACTGCAGGACATTTTCTTCCCAACCTCAGAGGTATTTATTCATCGTTAAAGCTTAAAGACACAAGTACTTCCACTCTGATCACAGATACTCACGCTGTGGTATCTGACAGCTGTGGAGGTCAGGGGCTCACCTGCCCACAGCAGCGCAGCATGTTTGATTTGGCACATTTACACCAGTTTAAAGCTAATGTTCATGTGGAGTCACCACATCTGATACTGGACAGACTCTGAAGCACCACATGACAACAGTCAGCTGATCCAACAATTTGCATTTTAATCTGATGCGCACAAACAGGCGGAGTCTGCTGAGCTGCTGTAAATCTGTAACATGCAGGTTTTTTTTCTTCATTAAAAGTACTTCGATGTTCAAACTGAGCCACAGACGCTCAGCGGACAGCCTCACTTATCCAGACAGACATTGACAGCAGTTTAAAGCGGTTTGTTCGTGAAGTCCGTCCTCTGCCGAGTGTTTCTCTGCCACCAACGCTGCGAGACCACCGGCACTGGCAGGAAGCCCGGAATTACGAGCTTCGCTTTCCAAGCTTTTTGTATTTCGGATACAGAAAAACTCAGTGTTAACGTCACTCGATCAATAAAGGATAAATACTAAAATTTAAACAAATATTCATCTCGATTTTGGCTCCAAGGTGCTGAAAACCCGACGTTCCATCAGAGATGCTGAAACGCTGTCGACATCTTTTATTTAAACTGGGAGAAGGAAAAATGGTCCAAGTCCTTTTGTTTTTTTTAAAACCTTTATTTTTTTGGAACAGTGTCCTGTTCACTCAGATGGGCACTCAACTTTGCCGCTGTTGATGTCATCGATGACATCATGGGGATGGCGGCCATCGATGGTGCATCCCACAGACTGAGCGGTTCCCAGGATCTCCTTGATGGTTCCTGATGAGGAATAAAAATGATCATGAGCCAGAATAGAAACACATGAAAGACTAACAGATATTTAACATCAGGCAGCAGGTTTAGAAACAACACTTGAGGCTCATTTCCCAGAGACGGTTTTTAACATTGAGCCTGGACGGCGCCAAGAGTCGGCCATCTTTGATTTACTTTAGTTTGTGTTCCAGACTTTTCGGCACAGAGCGGTCCATCGGTTTTTGGGCCGCCCTGTTTCCTAAAGCCGGGTCAATCTGAGCCTCCACTGGATTATACTCAGTCACTGGGACAGACGGGCATAGTGGCGGGAGGCTGAGCAGACGGTCAGGGAGAGGAGCCAATCAACAGCCCTGAAAAACCCAGGTTTCCCTGTGAGGTCTTACCGGAGAGCTCCCGGGCGATGGAGCGAGGCCTCATGACGCGAGCGATGCCCACGATCTCATCGAAGGTCACGCTGCCGCTGTGCTTAACTGGAAGTTTAAAAGAGTTTATGGTGAGCAAAAAGCACCTGAGCAAGCCGAGCGCGTTCGGTCCGTGCGTTCAGAGACACTCACTGTTCTTGACCTTCTTCCTGTCACGAGGAGGCTCCTTCAGGGCTTTGATGATCAGAGCCGACGCAGAGGGAACCACCTCGATCTGTTCAACACAAACGGCATCCACTGAAACTTTAAACCCAGACACACACCAATCACCACAGACACACACCAATCACCACAGACACACACCAATCACCACAGACACACACGAGGCCTGTGTGTCTGCAGGTGGCACTGGTTAACTCACCGCTGCCTGCCTGTTCTGGATGGTCAGCTTCACAGTGATCCTCAGGCCCTTCCAGTCACCGGTGGCCTTGGCGATGTCGTCACCCACTTTCTTGGGAGACTGGAGTGAGGAGAGAGAGAGGCGCTCTGTAAGTCACTCAGGTACGACAGAGGGGACTTCCTGTCTTAAAACAGTCTGTTGTGGGAGGCGACTGCAAATATTGACAGTTGTGCACACATCTTTAAAGCCGTGATTTCCCTGTCACTGACAGATGTATTTGACCAGCAAAACAAACACTTAAGTGCTGTCACAGTCACGCTGAAACCAATAAAAACCAAACTGAAACGATCAAACATGCTGAGAACAGGAACAGAGTCTCAGTTTGTGTTCCAGACTTTTCGGCACAGAGCGGTCCATCGGTTTTGGGCCGCCCTGTTTCCTAAAGCTGGGTCAATCTGAGCCTCCTCTGGATTATACTCAGTCACTGGGACAGACGGGCATAGTGGCGGGAGGCTGCTTTGATCCAAATCACACATTTTCTGATACTCACCAGACCCAGAGGTCCGATTTTGGGGGCCAGGGCTGAGGTGGCGCCGACTTCTCCTCCTGTGCACCTCATGTACACTGAAAGAAATGACAGACTGCATTAAAGCCTTTGCACACAGACAGAAAACTGTCATTTCTGAAGCTTCAGAATAAAACTGCTAACTAAAGCTACATGTTAAGAAACCACCCGCGCTGATCAAATGAAGCCGATCTCAGTTTGTGGAATTCTGCCTGTCCGGAAATGTTAGTTTAATCATTTTGGAGCCACTCTGTGATCCTTTTGAATCCATGACAGAAAATGGTCTTGGATCTCGGAAGAAGTTGGTCTTTCAGCATTGCCAGTCTTTAAAACAACAGTAAATGAGCAGAAGCCCTAAAAGTGCTCATTTTAAAACAACGAGGCACAGACAGAGCTCTGAAACCAGGATTTGGCTCAGAAGCTGATATGAATATCAGCTTCTGAGCCAAATGAACGCCAGTGAACTGAAAGAAAAAAGGTCACCACTGTAAATACCGACTTTACGTGGTTTTTTTGGCCAATAAATGCCAAACACTTATGAAGTGACTGATTGTTCTTCTCTGCATCACAGAAATCTCAAACATGACATGGTAGTGACCAAACTGGTGAATTCCTGCAGTTCTGTGCTGACTAAACTCACAGCAGCTGCGCTCGTACTTCAAACATCTCATTTCAGGTGGGCTGAAACCTTTACAGTAGCAACTGATGTGCATTTATTAGTCAGATATCTGCACGACACTAAAGCTTCCTGGTTGTAGGTAACGCAGTAGTGATGGATCACATTTGGCCGTCATAAAGGGTAAGACAGGAACCCACTGGCCAAAATGCACTCCTGCATTCACAGCCCAACTGTAAGCGATGACCTCAACCCAAGTCCTGAGCCAGATGGCTGCATCTGAAGCTGTGAAACAGCTGTTCTCCTAGAGGTTAAGTGATCAGACAACACCTGATGCTTCCCCAAAATTCTCATCTAATGAGGATTAACAGGAGCTGAACCATCTGTACCAACAGCTGACCCTCACACTCCCTCCATTTTCCTTCGCCCACATGTCGCTGGCAAACATAACCAACACTCAACATAAAAAGCCTAGATATAACAATATTTTGAATTACACAACATGTCAACAAATTACACTACTTTCCAAACCTTCACCTGCTTTAGCCAACTTAGTTTTTGCAGATCAGGAATTTGAAAGGAATAAACAGCAGCTGGACCTGTAAGAGTCCCATCATAAGTAACCTCCAACCATAAGTGTCAATTCAGCAGTTCTACCTTTGACATGTTTTAGGATGCTTTTTACCCCACTGAAGCCCTTGGGGTGGGGGCACATTAGGAAAAAAATTAGCTCCATATTGTGCCACGTTGATCAAACTACACTTTCCACTGGAGAAATGTAGTTTTAAGGCTTAAAAGACTACAAGTTTACATGCTAACTCTATTGAGTTTGCACTAATGCTGTAATAGCAGTACATGCTCTCACGTACAAAAGGATTTAACCGCAGCATTGCGTCAAGTGTTTGACGCAATCCCAAAATTAGCATCATAACAATTGTTATAACTACGTCATTATTCATCGCTAAAAGCTGTCCAAACATGGTCTCCATATTGCATTAACACCCTTTAGAAGACTAACGGTTTCCTCATAAATGTACTTCAGCGATTTGTAAGGTAATTAACTGTGGCTAACGTTAGCATTAGTTGCTACGTTAGCATTAGATGCTACGTTAGCATTAGCTGCACGTGGGTCAGCACGTTACCCACTACACTACCCTCTACACCTGCCTCCGACCTGACATATTTTACTCAATTGGCATCATTAATTCTACAAACATCAACAAAAGCCTAAACTGAGTTTCTTCGTCGCGTTTCGTGTCCCATCTTTACCATTTTGTGAGCGCCGTGTGCAGGCCGCCAGGCAGGCGGAGGCAGACGGCAGAGAGCGACTCCATCCCGGCTGTGAAAAAGCGTCTGCTTTTATTACATTCAAAACATACCAATTTTAATCTCGTTGGGGTCGAATTTGGGCGGCATTTTGCTGCTGTGGAGGTTGAGCTCAGTTCAGCTTGGTTGGTGAGGGTGTCGGATGAACCCGGCTTCGGGACGACCGATAACTGTTGCACCTTCACCTCTAAAGGGGAGAAAGAGAAAGGAAGACCGGCGGCTGCGGAGGAGTTTATACTTCAGCCAAGTCCCGCGAGAACATGTGTCGCAGTTCGCGTTGAGACGTATGACGAAACGCCATGTGGGCGTGGTTTAAGACTTACTTTAGCCAATAACTAAATTGCTAAAATCATTTCTAAAACTTTAGTGGATTTATTTGAACAATAAATAAATAAATAAAAAGACATCTGAAAAGACGAGCGTACTCCATGAAATTTGAATTAATATAGCTTCAAATAATAAATGCATAAATTACATCAGTGATATCAGAATCAGAATCAGAATACTTTATTGATCCCTGGGGGAAATTATTTTTTGTTACAGTGCTCCATTTTAAACCAACATTAAGACAAGACAGACAATACGCTAACTAAGAATAGTACAATATATACATATATATACATACATACATACATAAGTCACTTATAAATAAATAGTTGGAAAAGAAACATGTGTAGTTGTAGCAGCAAACAGTGTGTTAAGTGGATGCGTTGTACAGGGAGATGGCCACAGGCAGGAATGATTTCCTGTGTCGTTCAGTGGTGCATTATGGGTAATCTCAGTCTCTCACTGAACGAGCTCCTGTGACTGACCAACATGTCATGGAGTGGGTGGGAGGTGTTATCCAACATTGTCTTTATCTTGGACAGCATCCGCCTCTCCGACACCACCTTGAGGGAGTCCAGCTCCATCCCCACAACATTGCTGGCCTTACGGATTAGTTTATTAAGTCTGTTGGCATCTGCGACCCTCAGCCTGCTCCCCCAGCATGCAACAGCATAGAGGATCGCACTGGCCACAACAGACTCATAGAAAATCCTCAGCATTTTCTGGCAGATGTTGAAGGACCTCAGTCGCCTCAAAAAATAGAGACGACTCTGGCCCTTCCTGTAAAGTGCTGTGGTGTTTTTAGCCCAGTCCAGTTTATTGTCAATGTGTACTCCAAGGTATTTATAGTCCTCCACAATGTCAACACTGACCCCCTGGATTGAAACAGGGGTCAAGTGTTTCCTGGTCTTCCTGAAGTCCACGATCAGTTCCTTGGTCTTTGCCACGTTGAGCTGCAGATGATTCTGCTCACACCACGTGACAAAGGAGTCGACCACAGCCCGGTACTCTGTCTCATCATCCCTGCTGATGCATCCAACCACCGCAGAGTCATCGCAGTATATATATATTATATATATTATATTTAACTGTATTTTACTAGAAAAAAAAATACATTGGACGTAAATACATTTACACCGGAAGCTCTTTCTGATGTGATCTGCTCCCAGTCTCAGCCTGAGGATCTTTCATAAAGAGAATTTTTGTAAACAGCACAGAGACACAGAAATACACACCGTCTGTTGTATGAAGAAAAATGAAACGCTACTCATGGCAAATTTAAATGCTAATTTACATCATGGAGTTTTTCACAATCAAATAAGGCACACAGTGGCGTGCCAGAAGCACAATACACAGCCAGTTTATCATGCAAATATACACTGTATGTTCATGTTCTTACAATAAAAACGAAGTAAAATGTTGGTATTCAGTTTAATCAGTACTTCATCTAAAACAATAAAGACAAATACAGTAAATGATGACAGAAATCAGATGGGATTTCCTTTAAAAACAAGCAGAGAAATGTTTAAATAACAACAACAACCCAGGTTATTATCCTGTGCAGACCAAACGCACCTTATTTTTACGAATCACACGTTACTCCTCACATCTGGAGTGCGTGACAGGATATAACTTACAATGCTGTGATTGCAGCCATTCCCCACGGTACTCATGGCCATTGATGAATGTCTTTGATCAATGGCCATGAAAATT